TGGGCAGGTTTCAAATGAGCTTCCAGACAAAGACAGACTAGGAAGAAGGAGTGACAAACTACTTCTGAACCTTTAGTCACTGAAAATCTTATGAATAACAGAGAAACACTGTCAGATATAGTGCTGGAAAATGAGCCCCTCAGGTTAGAAGGCACTCAAAATGCGACTGGGGAAGAGCCGCCTTGTCAAAGTAGAGTTGACCGTGATAACACAAATGGATTAAAGCCCGTGGGACCTTCGTTTGCTGATGGGACACAAGTCAAAATGAAGAGAAATAGCTGTAAACATCTGTTAATAATCAAAACATGGAATATATGAAGTAAGAATCTAGTAAAATAAATTATCAAAAATGAAATGGAATGTATAAACATTAATATTTTAAGCATTAGTGAGCTGAAATGGACTGGTATTGGCCATTTTGAATCTGAAAACCATTTGGTTTACTATGCCTGAAATGACAAATTGAAGAGGAATGGTGTTGCATTCATTGTCAAAAAAAACATATCCAGATCAGTCATGAGGTACAACACTGTCTATGATAGGATCATATCCATGCGCCTACAGGGAAGACCAGTTAATGCCACTATTATTCAAATTTACACACCAACCACTAAAGCCAGAGAAGATGAACTAGAAGAATTTTACCAAATGCTTCGATCTGAAGTGGATAAAACATGCAATCAAGATGTATTGATCATTACTGGTGATTGGAATGCAAAAGTTGGGAGCAAAGAGGAAGGATCAATAGTTGGAAAATATGGCCTTGGTGATAGAAATAATGCTAGAGATCGCATGATAGAATTTTGCAAAATCTGTGGCTTGTTCATTTCAAATACCTTCTTTAGACAGCATAAGAGACAACTATCTATACACATGGACCTCGCAAGGTGGAATACACAGAAATTTAATTGACTACATTTGTGAAAAGAAACGATGGAAAAGCTCCATATCATCAGTCAAAGCAAGGTGAGGGACAGGTTGTGGAACAGATCATCAATTCCTCATATACAAATTCAAACTGAAGCTGAAGAAAATGAAAACAAGTCCACAAGAGACAAAATATGACCTTGAATATATCCCACCTGAATTTAGAGATTATTTGAAGAACAGATTTGAAACATTAACCACTAAAGACCAAAGACCAGAAGAGTTGTGGGATGGCATCAAGAACATCAAACAGGAAAAAATCAAAAAGTCAAGAAGACAAGAAAGAAGGATGAGATCAAAATCTCTTCCAGCTGATTAGAGATCTGCATTTGTGCCCGTTCCAAAGAGAGGTGATCCAATGGGATGCGGAAATCATCAAACAATCTCTTTGATATCCCATGCAAGTAAAGTTTTACTAAAGTTAATACAGAAACGGCTATAATCATATGTTGACAGAGAACTGCCGGTGGTTCAAGCCGGATTTAGAAGAGGCCATGGAATGAGGGATATCATTGGTGATGTCCGATGGATCTTGGCTGAAAGCAGAGAATATCAGAAAGATATTTATCTGTGCTTTCTTGATTACGCAAAGGCTTTCGATTGTGAGGATCATGACAAGCTATGGACAACATTGCGAAATACGAGTATTCCAGAACACTTAATTGTGCTCATGAGGAATCTGTACCCGAACAGAACATGGGAACACTGAATGGTTTAAAATTAAGAAAGGTATGTGACAGGGTTTTAGTCTGTCACCATACTTATTCAACCTGTATGCTGAGCAAATAATACGAGGAGCTGGGTTCTATGAAGAAAAACATGGCATCAGCATTGGAGGAAGACTCATTAACAACCTGCGATATGCAGATGATACAACCTTGCTTGCT